TAAACATGATCAATTGCATAAAACTTGTTAATTGAGAGGATAACTATGGTAAAATCATGAATCTTAAACACTTAAACCATCATATTAAAAATCAATTGTTTTAGTATATTTAAAAGAGAAACAGAAAGAAAAAAAAAAAGTAACTTCTTTATTTGTTTTCATTCAAATTCAAGTTAGGAATAATTGAACCAATTGTTAAATAATAGTTCTCGTGGAAATGATATTCGGACTCATAGATCCAGTTTATTACGTGTAACGATCCGTACACTTGCGGGATATAAAATCAACAATATAAAGTCTCCCTAGCCATTCATCACAGTCCCGAAACCCAACTTTCAACTTGGAGCTAAAGACAAAGGAAAACAATTGGAATAGCTCACAAAGACGTGGCTAAATGGTCTACCCGATTCATCAACAGATACATTCTATAAGCCATGATAAGATCTTTCTAGGATGGCAGATTCCAAGGAAAAAGAAGAGCCCAAGTCTGTCCTTGAACTAGTTTTGTCCCTAGAAGGCTCTATCAAAAGAATTTCACCATTGCTCAAGAAGTCCATTCTATGAAGAAAAATCAAGGGAAAAATCTAGGGCGAGTAGTAACCCTACACAGGGCCCGCACGCATTGATGGATAGATAGATAGATATTTTTAAGACTTAATATACCAGCATTCGTTTATTAATCTCTTGAACGTAGTTGCAAGATTCAAGATTACAAATTTAAGACTCAAAGTGAACGAGGAGAGAAATAAGAAATCTGTTGACATGCCATGAAATGAGTATGGCATTTGGCTCCTTCCTTAATTAATGTCCCTGTAGGTTTGGCAAGCTTGCAGATGTTAAAGCTTTGGGCAGTGGATGAGGGTACTTCCACGGTTGACAGTATAAACCATTATGCTCTGTTTGTAGACATGGCCCGCTTTTCTCTATCAACCAGAGACAATATTGGTGGCACAGGGAACTTATTCTCCAAGTGTAAACACCATAGTTGCCATACCCATAATTGCTTTTAAAGTCGCAATAAAACTTTGTAGTTCGAAACAAGTTTGGAGTGAATCTAAATTTAAAATCTTGTTGGTATAGGAGTACGTGATTGCCAAGATCATCTTCTGAGGAATAACAGTGAGCACTAATTTTTTCTTCAGGTATAAAACCTCTAATTACAACAGTATATTTTGCTGCTACTGATAGGGCGAATAACAAGGCCAGCAATAGTACAAATTTAATGTATGAAGAAATCATCTCCCCAGCCATTTTTCTGTGTCAATGTTTTCTTTGCCTTGTGATTTATAAGAAAAAGAGATTTCCATACCACACCACTGGTAAAAATGTTGATAAGGTTTATAGAGAATATGGAAATGCCTTTAATGAGATTATATAATCTTATACAATCTGAATAATTTTCCATTAATTTCTATAAAAATATTCAAGTATTGAGATAATTTTTCTCAGATTATAGTAACTTTATTTGAAATATAAGTTCAATCCTATCTGGTAATAGTTGATTATACAAATATATGACAAACATTTATATTTTTCCATGATTGACAATATTAACACGTGGCACAAGCTTCACAGTTGGCTTCTCACATGCCAATGTGTAGTGTGGCCAGGACAATCGCCAGTCTAATACGGGAGAAATAAAAAAAAA